ATGTGTGAAAATTAACCTAAATGTGTGTTCCCACGTTTAAACTCTGTATGAAAAGGAAGGGTCTCACAGTGCACTTGAAGAGCCTGTTACAGTGAAGCCACAGATTCAATTGACGTTTCTATTATAACTGGAGGAAAAAAGAGAGAGGCAAGTTCTAAGGGAGCAGAAAAAACAAAAAATCCCACCAAACCCTCAAACCTTATATTTCCAGCATCCATTTCTACTTTCAGCAGGTGAGAAAGGGCTTCCAGAGCCATTGTGAAAAGGAAAAAAGGAGCAGGAGCTGCACACCCAGCTCTATTATATTTCCTACTGGTTAAGCCATTCTGAAAGTTCATGGCTCATTTTCTCAGCTCAAACATCAAAGTGAGGGAAAAAAAATCCATTTAAAGATGGTAAAGTTGAACAGATAAGATATAATTTTTGTGAAAAAACAGTCCTAACTCAAAAACCTCTTGTATAAATTTAACATTGCTTCCCAATGGCATTTATGTTCTAAAACCCAGATTCCAGATTGTGGTATGATTTTGGTAATTTCAGGGCACGTTTAAAAAATGAAAAAAAACAAACAAACAAAAAAAACAAAAACAAAAACAAAAAACCACAAATAAATTAACTTAAAAGACATAAGGGTATTATCCTTACAGTTTCCCCACGAAGCAGCATTTCCTACAGCTGGCAATTGCCCACCTGCCAGCACCTTTCACCGGGCACAACCATCCATCCAGCGCTTTTGGCTGCTCAACAGACACAGCTGAAGTGGTTCATTCAGGGGACTGAAATGCCTATCAGCCCTGGGTGCTCAGAGATGTAATGAATTTCGGATTTACCACCCCATGCCAATGCCTACCAGCAATGTGGTAGAAGATGCAGCAATTATTTAGAAAATGCGAGGGCTTGCCTGTAAGAGTTACTACTGCCTAACTCAGAGGGGGCTGGAGGAGAGTGTGAGTTATCCTTTACTACAGCCAATGCCTCAGGAGCTTATTTTTGCATTCACTACACTTTTTTTTAAAGCTAGGAGATAGCAAAGCTGGGAATCTATGTGTTGAATTACTAGTTACTGCTGAGTCTGTGTAATTACACCGTTACACTCCAGCTGATTCCAGCCCATTCTCCAATTCGTTTAAGTGCAAATAGCCTCGTTAGTTCCCCAGTCAGGGAGTCTATAAATACCGCCGCCGAGGCACTAAGCACACCCCTACCTGCCCCCCAGCTCTGGGTAAGGAAGCCCCGGGCAGTCGCAGGCATCCAGGACCATGCTGCCCAGCTCCACTGCACAGACCCTCTCACCTGCAGCCCTTCAGGGATGGGGGTCCAGGACCTGGAGCAGATGGGAGGACCCGGGTGCACCCCTATGCCCAGCTAACCTGGGGCAACCCATGATGCAAGACTGGGGGGGTTGCAGGACCTGGAGTTCTGCATCCCCATGCAGTCAAGATAATATCAGGACTAAGGATCCAGGGTGCATCCCCATCCATCTGCTCCAGGGGCTGCAGGACCTGGGGTGCACCCCCATGCCCAGCCAGCCTAGAGGGTGCAGAAAACAGGGTGCAACCCCATGCCCAAGCAAGCCCAGAGGCACAGGATCCTGACAAGGGGATAGAGGATACAGGCTGCAGCCCCATGCCTGGCTGGTCAAAAAAATAAAAATAAAAATGAAGGACCTGGGCTGCACCCTCATGCCCAGCCACTTTGCAGGTAAGGGGGTAGAGGATCCAGACCGCACCCCCATGACCAGCCAGCCTGGGAGATGCAGGACCAAGGTGCATCTTACTCCCAACTGTCCCAGGGCAAAGGGACCCAGACTGCACCCCAGTGCCCAGCCAGTCTAGGAGGTGGAAGATCCGGACAAGTTGGTGCAGGACCCTGGCTTCATCCCCATCCCAGCCAGCTCAGGGCACGGGACCTGGGAAAGAGGTTGCCGGACCTGGGCTGCACACCTATGCCCAGCCAGTCCGGGAGATGTACCTGGGCTGTACCCCATTCCCAACCGGCCGGGAGTGTAGGACCCCAGGAATAACCCTGATGCCAAGCCGGTCGGAGGGTGCAGGAGCCGCGGTGCACTCCCGTGCCCATGCGGGATTCGGGCAAGAGGATGCAGGAGCCGGGGTGCAGTCTCTTGCCCAGCTGGTCCGGGAGATGCTGGACCGGAGGGCGGCCCCCCGGATGCAGAACTCGTGAAATAACGCCGATTCCGAGCTGGGTGGGTGGGTGCAGGACCCGAGCACAGGGATGTAGGACCCTGGCTGCACCCTCACGCCCACCCAGTCGGGGGTTGCAGGACCCGGGCTACAACCCGCTCCCAACCGGTCCAGGGGGTGCAGGACCCGAGGAATACCCCCGATCCGGTGCGGGATCCGGGCAGGGGGAGCGGCCGGAGCCGGGATGCGGGCCGCGGGGAGCATCCCCGGCGGCTGGGGAACCACTCACAGGGCAGGGGCGGGCCCGCGGGGGGACCCGAGCGACCGGGGGGGATTTTGGGTGTGGGGGTAGGTCACTCCGGAGAGAGCCGGTGTGTGCTGCCTGCGTTTCCCCCCCCACCATATACCTCCACCCAGCTCCAGCACAAAGTATCCTTTTAGGCATTTTCTATCTAAAAAGAGTATTCCTATGGAAAAGGAAGGGTCTCACAGTGCACTTGAAGAGCCTGTTACAGTGAAGCCACAGATTCAATTGACGTTTCTATTATAACTGGAGGAAAAAAGAGAGAGGCAAGTTCTAAGGGAGCAGAAAAAACAAAAAATCCCACCAAACCCTCAAACCTTATATTTCCAGCATCCATTTCTACTTTCAGCAGGTGAGAAAGGGCTTCCAGAGCCATTGTGAAAAGGAAAAAAGGAGCAGGAGCTGCACACCCAGCTCTATTATATTTCCTACTGGTTAAGCCATTCTGAAAGTTCATGGCTCATTTTCTCAGCTCAAACATCAAAGTGAGGGAAAAAAAATCCATTTAAAGATGGTAAAGTTGAACAGATAAGATATAATTTTTGTGAAAAAACAGTCCTAACTCAAAAACCTCTTGTATAAATTTAACATTGCTTCCCAATGGCATTTATGTTCTAAAACCCAGATTCCAGATTGTGGTATGATTTTGGTAATTTCAGGGCACGTTTAAAAAATGAAAAAAAACAAACAAACAAAAAAAACAAAAACAAAAACAAAAAACCACAAATAAATTAACTTAAAAGACATAAGGGTATTATCCTTACAGTTTCCCCACGAAGCAGCATTTCCTACAGCTGGCAATTGCCCACCTGCCAGCACCTTTCACCGGGCACAACCATCCATCCAGCGCTTTTGGCTGCTCAACAGACACAGCTGAAGTGGTTCATTCAGGGGACTGAAATGCCTATCAGCCCTGGGTGCTCAGAGATGTAATGAATTTCGGATTTACCACCCCATGCCAATGCCTACCAGCAATGTGGTAGAAGATGCAGCAATTATTTAGAAAATGCGAGGGCTTGCCTGTAAGAGTTACTACTGCCTAACTCAGAGGGGGCTGGAGGAGAGTGTGAGTTATCCTTTACTACAGCCAATGCCTCAGGAGCTTATTTTTGCATTCACTACACTTTTTTTTAAAGCTAGGAGATAGCAAAGCTGGGAATCTATGTGTTGAATTACTAGTTACTGCTGAGTCTGTGTAATTACACCGTTACACTCCAGCTGATTCCAGCCCATTCTCCAATTCGTTTAAGTGCAAATAGCCTCGTTAGTTCCCCAGTCAGGGAGTCTATAAATACCGCCGCCGAGGCACTAAGCACACCCCTACCTGCCCCCCAGCTCTGGGTAAGGAAGCCCCGGGCAGTCGCAGGCATCCAGGACCATGCTGCCCAGCTCCACTGCACAGACCCTCTCACCTGCAGCCCTTCAGGGATGGGGGTCCAGGACCTGGAGCAGATGGGAGGACCCGGGTGCACCCCTATGCCCAGCTAACCTGGGGCAACCCATGATGCAAGACTGGGGGGGTTGCAGGACCTGGAGTTCTGCATCCCCATGCAGTCAAGATAATATCAGGACTAAGGATCCAGGGTGCATCCCCATCCATCTGCTCCAGGGGCTGCAGGACCTGGGGTGCACCCCCATGCCCAGCCAGCCTAGAGGGTGCAGAAAACAGGGTGCAACCCCATGCCCAAGCAAGCCCAGAGGCACAGGATCCTGACAAGGGGATAGAGGATACAGGCTGCAGCCCCATGCCTGGCTGGTCAAAAAAATAAAAATAAAAATGAAGGACCTGGGCTGCACCCTCATGCCCAGCCACTTTGCAGGTAAGGGGGTAGAGGATCCAGACCGCACCCCCATGACCAGCCAGCCTGGGAGATGCAGGACCAAGGTGCATCTTACTCCCAACTGTCCCAGGGCAAAGGGACCCAGACTGCACCCCAGTGCCCAGCCAGTCTAGGAGGTGGAAGATCCGGACAAGTTGGTGCAGGACCCTGGCTTCATCCCCATCCCAGCCAGCTCAGGGCACGGGACCTGGGAAAGAGGTTGCCGGACCTGGGCTGCACACCTATGCCCAGCCAGTCCGGGAGATGTACCTGGGCTGTACCCCATTCCCAACCGGCCGGGAGTGTAGGACCCCAGGAATAACCCTGATGCCAAGCCGGTCGGAGGGTGCAGGAGCCGCGGTGCACTCCCGTGCCCATGCGGGATTCGGGCAAGAGGATGCAGGAGCCGGGGTGCAGTCTCTTGCCCAGCTGGTCCGGGAGATGCTGGACCGGAGGGCGGCCCCCCGGATGCAGAACTCGTGAAATAACGCCGATTCCGAGCTGGGTGGGTGGGTGCAGGACCCGAGCACAGGGATGTAGGACCCTGGCTGCACCCTCACGCCCACCCAGTCGGGGGTTGCAGGACCCGGGCTACAACCCGCTCCCAACCGGTCCAGGGGGTGCAGGACCCGAGGAATACCCCCGATCCGGTGCGGGATCCGGGCAGGGGGAGCGGCCGGAGCCGGGATGCGGGCCGCGGGGAGCATCCCCGGCGGCTGGGGAACCACTCACATCGAGGATGACGGAGGTGCCCTTCCTCTGCGCGGCGGCGGCGGCACCCGGGTTGAGCAGCTCCCGCTCGGCGACCCCCTTGTCACCCATCCTGGCCACCACCCAGCGCAGCAGCCCGTCCAGCCCGCGCAGCGCCGGCGGAGGTTTGCGCAGCAGCCTGTGCACGCCGGCCCGGCAGTAGCGCGCTGCCTGCTCGCACATCGCTCAGCCCGGCCTCATGCCGGCGCTGGGGACTCCCCCCCGCCCTCGCCCCCCC